CTCTCTCTCTTTATTTCTCTCATTATCTGCCCTTTAGTAACTTCTTTTTCATCTTTATTTACTACACTTGGCTACTGTGACATATACTATTCTTAAATAATTAGATTATAATTATAAATAATTGCTATCATTTCTTATTCAGTAAGTAATAAAGAATTATATACTCTGCTTTTCATGTTAGGTAGTGGAATTACATGTAGGTCAATACCTTCTATTAATGAATAACTGATTGTGTTCTGTGTTAGAAGTCCTCTGCTGAACAAACTGACTTTTTGAAACATTCCAAATCACTCACAATCTCTTAGCTACCTATTAATTCTCCTACATACATTTAATCTAGTTGAGGAATAACTCAAAATGGAGATTATTCCCAGGACTCATAGCTTCATTAACCTATGGTTGTCAGCATAATCAGATCCATGAAGGGGACTCCCTTACCCTTGAAAAATGCTTATCATATCTGTCAGTCTTAATGGAGGTCATTGAGGTGCTGACACCTTCCCCGAGGCGTGATCTTTCAGGATCTATTATCCTGTTAAGTTTAACACACCCCATGTGAAACTGTAAATGCATCCATGGGATTGAAACTTTTCCTCCAAAAGTTCAGTGCCAAAATAAAGCTATAGGTTCTCTTAAAATAAAATTTCAGACTTATCCTGTTCTTCAGAGATGGCTGTCTGCCTGCTGCTTTACTTCCTTTCTTTCTGTTACCTAGGTTTTCATTCAAAGACCCTGGGTTCACAAAGTTAATGCACTCAGCTGCTATCCAAAAGGGTGGAGATTGAGTCCACCCAGACGTTCCTCAGAAGAAAAGCCTGATGATCTACCGCTAAAATGTCAGTCAGTGAATACCTCATTAGGCACAGGTCTGCTCTGACACAGAGGGGGTCACCATGAGTCAGAACAGCTCTGATGACCACTGGGAAACAGCAACAAAAGACTAGAGGAAAATGGTTGCTTTAGGAGCATTTTATGATAAAATCTTAAAATTGCTAAAAGAGGGCTTAGGATTGGAGCAGAAAAGACAATATTCAGAGAAAGATTTAGAGGCTTTACTGTGCATACCAACAGAATAACTTGGATGCCACAAAGAAAAAAAAAAAAGAGAGAGATTATTGAATATAGGAGCCCATCGTATTAACCATATAAGATATTTTGGGTCAATGACTTCTTGTCTTACAACCTGGAACCCAGACTTGAGTCCTGGTTTAACTTGTCACTACTTATAAATATATGATCTCGAGTAAACCTCCAACTTCTCTAAATCCCAGTTTCCTTGACAACTGCATTAAACTTGTATTCTACCTTACAATGTAATTGAAAGAATCAACAAAGACAATATATGAAAAAGAAATCTATTAATTATATTTTTAGCTTCTTGGGTGTATTATTACTAATATTAGTATTATATGATAGGACCCATTTGGTCCCTTGTCATTGTATTCTTATTTATATGACACTTTAACATGAAGGTGAGTATTGACACTTGGAGAATCAGGGAGTTTTGTTCCCAAATTCAAATAGTGGACTGTAAATCATTTGATGATTTATTAGACATAGCAGTATTCAATGTAGCATTATCCTTCAATGGGTCTACTCCTCAGAATGGCCCCTTTTGCAAAAGTAGTATATCCTTTTTTCTTTTTCTTTTTTGCTAATGTACCTTATTATACACGTGCAGTTTGGGGATTTAAAATTTACCTCCTTCATCTCTCCTTTGCTGATTGCTACTGTTGTTTTCTTCAGCAAGGGATGTGGACACCACTTTTTTTTTTTTTTTTTCCAACCAGGAGTGTGGATGTTGGTGGAGGGGGATAAGCTTCTATCCTCTTGGCTAACGGGAGGTGGTAGGCCTTGACATCCTTCAGGAACAATGTGTACAACCCTTCTTACTCTCTTCAGTCTCAATATAGACAGCTAGATAGCTTTCAGTGTGTGTTATCCACTTAAATAAGTACACCATGTTCTTAATGGGTATTTCAGTCTTAACTTCCATATAGACACCAAACCAAAAAACCAAACTCACTGCCATCAAATCAGACCCAACTCATAGTGACCCTTCCTTGGGTTTCCAAGGTGGTATCACTACAGAAGTAGATTGCCCAAACTTCCTTCTGAGGAGTGGCTGGTGGATTTGAACCGCCAGCCTTCTGGTTAGCAGTCAAGTACCTTAGGCACTATGCTACCAGAGCTCCTCATGTAGACACACTGGGATTAAAAACAAAGCCTCCTGCGGAGTCATCCTGATCTGTGCCTGTTTTCTTTCCCTTTTTGCATCTAGGTAAGTGTGAAATCGGCTGGGCCTACTATTGTACTGGAGGGGGTGCTGCCACCGCCATGCTCCTGTGCACATGGCTGGCTTGCTTCTCAGGCAAGAAACAGAAGCACTACCCATACTGAAAAGGTGCCACCAACAGCAGGCAGAGGAGATGATGGACCAGAGGGGCTCAGAGGGACTGGAGCATCGAGCAGCTACTTTCAAAAGGTGGAATAGTGGCTTTAATCCAATATAGTGCTTATGGAATGAAACCTGATGAGGTCAGGAACATTCTGTAATGCAGAAGGGTTGTGGGAGGTTTGAGCAAGAAATTGAGAGTATGGAATGGTAGACAAAATGGACCAAAGGCTAAAAATATTAGGGCATCGGATGTTTCTATTCCTCAGAGTATTGGTAACATATAAAACACAAAAAAAACATACACACACACAAAGTTTTTATATGCAAAGAAGGATTTCTTTCTTTTTCTTTTTTTTTTTTAAAGGTGAGGACTCAGAGAATCTAAAGGGCTAGTAGAAACTGTTATCGTGGGATGGTCCCTGTAGGTCATGACACTCCTGAAAGCACATACAGACATATGCATCCAACACATGCCCACGCAAACACAAATAAGCACATCCACACATGTGCCCACGTGAACAAAAGTACACACATGTACATACGTGCCCATGCAAATGCAAATACACACATGCACACATGTGCCCACACAAACACATACTCATTATACAGATGATTCGGGAGGTTTAGCAGTGCATTACTCTTCTGTTTTCTTTTTAATATACATTTCAAATACATTATTATTATTTTATAAAGCATACATTATACCTAATAAATGGACCAATAAACCACTCTATCAGTATTTTGTATATTCTGCATAAACTCTTTACACCTTCAATATATTTTCAGTGTTTATGCAGACTTTTAGAGTTAAGCCTCTGTATTTCAATATTCTTCAAAAATATGCAATATTTACCTGACTGAATAGCTTCTGCTATGACATTCTTATGAAGTAAAGGGCAACCTTCTGTCCACTATAGGAGACAATGAAGTTGACTGTATGAGAGTCATGATAGACATTTTCCAGCCATTAGATCTTGTTTCCCTTTGTCCATTATTGTACTGTGCTGTATTGCATTTATTTCAATATTCATTTTGTTAAAAAAAAAAGTTGTTTTTTTTTTTTTTTTTTTTGTATTTGAAGCTCTGTGAATAAATTTTCTCTTTGATCAATAACTAAATGAGTCTTAGAGTAGTCATTCTGTTTTGGCGTTTCCTTCTTTAATATCCTAAATATGGTCTTCACCTACATTAGTCCTGTAAATTTTCTTTTTAGAATGAACACCTTCATCTCTCCTATCCTAGCATACAGAGTCAAAAGGTGTCTTAGTTTCCTAGAGTTGCCGCACCAAAATACAGCAAAGTGGGTTGTTTTAAGAAGCATGCATTTGTTGTTTCACAGTTCTGGGGGCTAAAGGTCAAATTCTGAACATCAGAGGAACCATGCTCTCTCTTTTGGTTCAAGGGGAAGATACTGCCTTATGTTTTCCAACTCTGGTAGCTCCGGGCATTCATTGGCAGTCCTAGATTTATAGATGAAACTTCATCTGGCAGTTTCTCCTGTCTGTGGCTCTCCCTCTCTCCTGCCCATCACTTTCATGTATTGCTTGTGCTTTCAAAATGTGTGTAATTGTACTTCTTATCTAAATAGTATTACGAACTGTTAGCTCCCATTAAGTTGTAGTTCCCTAAATTCACTCCCCTTTTATAAGACACCATTCAGGATTAGGACCCATTGTACTTCACTATGACTTAACTAATATTATTTTCAAAACTCATCAGTTGCCATCAAGTGACCTGCGACTCATGGGAGTCCCTGGTTAGAAACAGTTAACTCACTCAGCTGCTAACCGAAAGGTTAGCAATTTGAGTCCACCTAGAGCTACTTCGGAAGACAGTCCTGGCAGTCTACTGCCCAAAAGTCAGCCGCTGCGAACCCTGTGGAGTGGAGTTCAGTGACACACAGGAGGTCACCAATATTTACAGACACCCTAAGTTTTTTCAAACAAGGTCACATTTGCAGGTCCAAGGGTTAGGATTTTAAGTTATATGCTTTTAGGTGACACAGTTCAGTCCAGAAAACAGAATACTGAAAGCACCGTGGACTGCCATAAGTACTAACAAATGTGTCCTAGAAGAAGTGCAGCCAGAATGCTCCTTGGAAGTGAGAATGGCTAGAATTTGTCTCACCGACTTTGATCATGTTGTCAGAAGGGACCATTTCCTGGAGAAGAATATAATGCTTGGTAAAGTGGAGGGTCAGCAAAAAAGGGGAAGACCCTCAATTAGATGGATTGACACAGAGTTCTGGTGGTGTAGTACCTAAGGCATTTGACTGCTAACCAGAAGGTTGGTGGTTCAAACCCATCAGCCACTCTGTGGAAGGAAGTCTGGGCAATCTACTTCTGGAAAGATTACCACCTCAGAAACCCAAAGGGGGTCGCTATGAGTCAGAATCAACTCAATGGCAGTGAGCTTTTTTTTTTTCTTTTTACTTTGGTCATCTTGTTAGAAGGAACCATTCCCTGAAGAAGGATATCATGCTTGGTAAAGTGGATGGTCAGCGAAAAGGGGAAGACTCTCATCGCGATGGATTGACACAGTGGCTGCAATGATGGGCTCAGGTATAACAAGGATTGTGAGGCTGGTGCAGGACTGGGCAGTGTTTCGTTCTGTTGCACATAGGGTCGCTATGAGTCAGAGCTGACTCGACAGCACCTAACAACAGTAACAACAACAAAGAAAGTTTCTTCTTTCAATAAGTTCATGATCTTTCACCTTAAATTCTTTACAACTAGAATTCAAACTTCCTGGTCATTGCAATTCAACCATGACCAGATTCTTGAGAGAAAAATTTCAGCTCTAGTTTGGATTACATTAGAGAAGATGGGCAATATTCAGATGTGGCTTAGGGCAGTGAGAGCCAGATCATGGCCTGGGAGGTGTCTGGTCTGACCATCTCCTGGATGGCCACAGGGTCGTCATAAACTGCTAGTGATGTGCTATCCCTCTGCCTCCCACAGGTGCTGGGTTTCTTCTCTCCCTCAGGAATCTTGGCCCCCAGGGTAAAATGTAACTAAATGAAAAGGTTTGGACAGTTCCAATATTCCTTAGCAGAGCCAGTTCTTTCAGAAACAAAGATTGCATATTGGATAATGAATATACTTTTGTATTAAGCACCTGAGTTTCTTAATCATCCTCACTTTCAATTTCAAGAGATTTCTAAATCACATTTTTCATATTTGAAAATTGAACATTCTGGATATTTGTACATGTCACTGCATTTTCTTTACTTCCTACATATTTCTTTTTTCAATTTATCTTAAATGTCTGAGTTTCATGCCTGCTTCTGTTACTTTCAATAATTCTAGGGTAAAGCTCCATGTTGTCCTGGAAGAACAATACAGTAATCTGGCCAATAAAATTCTGGACTTTCTGAGGCTTTGTTACAATGGAAAAAAGTCATTCTGCTCTGGAATGCTTAATTAATAATATGCTGAATGTCACTTGATTGTGTCTCATTGTCCTCTGAGCAGAGGCTTCTCCACTCAGTGGTTTCCTGCAGTGAGAAGATTGCACTTTGCTTCCTCAATTAACCCATCACTTTATGTATCACTTGTGCTTTTTTAAAAAAAATTTTAACTGCACTTCCTGTCTGAATAGTATTATGACTTTTTAGCTCCCATTATCAAGTTGGAGTTCTCTATGGAATTCATTATACCCTAATTCTATGGACAGAATTACTGACAGCATTAGCATTTTTATATAGTCCATATGCTTTTGAACCTTGCTAGAATAAATACTAATTACATGATGAAGTAAAATGATAAAACCTTACACCTCAAGTTCTGACTAGTTGGTTTTTTTTCATTCAAGATATCTTAGCATTTCACAAGGGGCATCGAATTTATTGAGAATTATACATGCTGCTTTCCAAAGTAAAATCTGGATTGATGAAATAATAATAATAGTATTAATAAAACCTGTGAAAACTTTGTATTCACAGGTTGCTTATTGATAGACACTTAGTGGGGCCAAGGCTTAATTTTCATAACCTCAAACACTTTCAATGATTGCACGTGCCTATTTTCAGGAAGGAAAAAAGATGTATGATGAGGTTAATTGATATAATTGAATTTACTCTTCAAATTTTGAGCATATTCATATATGTATTTGGGCACTAAATATCTATTGAGCACATGCTATTTGCTAGATATGAAGCACTAAATAAAACACAACCCCTGAACTCAGCCTGGTCCCAAGCTTGAGGGGAAAAGGACCAAGAGCATCCTTTTCACCAAGTGATTACCATTTCATATGATGTCAATGGACTATCAAGGATAGGGAAGGTGTTCCTCCCAGGTAAAGAACACTGCGCAGACAAAGGCATAAAGAAAAGAAAGAGGGTAAGTGACAATGTTCCACTCTTCAAAAGACATCATTAAGAAAATGAAAAGGTAAGTCACAAACTGGAAAAAAAAAGTTTGCAATATGTACATTGTATCCAGAATACATATGAAGAATTTTCACAATTAATAATACAAAGGCAACTCAATTTTTTAATTGTGAAAAAACTTTTAAAAAATGTCTGCACCTTATTGCATGCAGATTGTACCTTAATAAAAAGAGTGGGGAGGGTGTGAAGGGGGCTGGAGCTGTGAGTAGTCTCATAGGGCTGCAGTGAGGGTGCATTTGGGACATGGTGGGAGATGCAGCTGTAGCTCAAACATGAGATGATCAGAAGTGCTCTGTGCGCCATGCTGTTGTTAACTGCCATTCAGTCACCCCTCAACTCATGGAGACTTCATGCTCAATAGAGTGAAACTGCCCGGTCCTGTGTCATCCCCATAATCACATGTGAATCGGGTCCTTGTGATCCATGGGTTTTCACTGGCTGTTTCTTATAAACAGGTCATCAGGCCTTCCTTCCTAGTCCATCTTAGTCTGGAATCCTCCCTGAAACCCTCTTTTTTGCATCATTGTTGTTGTTGTTATGTGCTGTGGAGTCGGACTTGACTCATAGCAACCTTGAGTTTCCAAGGCAGTATCATCATAGCAGCATGCA